CCTTGACCGGAATCGAACCTGGGACCCTTCAGTCCCCAGACCGAAGCTCTATCCAGTGAGCCAAACCGGCTAGGGCAATAAAAGTATATTTAAAGAAAAGAAAAATGTAGGAATCATCCAGGATTTAGGGGGAAACCCAAAGAAAAGCAAAAATCTGCGTGTGGTCGGCATCGCACATTTGCAAGTTACTTTTCCAGGAGTAATGACAGGGTGCATCAAATCGTCTACCTCTAATGAGCCCGCCTGTCACCAAGGGTGTATATTTGCATTGCTTTATTCCCAGTAACTTAATCAGCCTTATTTGCATACATATAAGACTAAAAATATGCCACAAGAAACCTAGGCCATCGACCATAAACAGGAAACTGCCAGCTTCCCCAGTTCAAAACCAATAAATACGTAAGAGCCACAGTGATGAACTCTATTGCTGTGGGAGAGCTCATTGGTATAAAGCCTGGAATACAGCCCTGACCGGTGTGGCTCAGTGGATAGAGCATCCGCCTGTGGACTGAAAGGTCCCAGGTTCGATTCCGGTCAAGGGCATGTACCTTGGTTGCGGGCACATCCCCAGTGGGGGGTGTGCAGGAGGCAGCTGATCAATGTTTCTAACTCTCTATTCCTCTCTGTAAAAAAATCAATAAAATACGTTAAAAAGAAAAAAGCCTGGAATATAATTTCATATTAGCGATCAAGAAAAGCTTAAGAGGCCTGGGCAGGGTGGCTCAGTGGTTGAGCATCGACCTATGAACCAGGAGGTCAAGGTTCGATTCCCGGTCAGGGCACATGCCCAGGTGGCGAGCTTGATGCAGCCGATGGATGATTCTCTCTCATCATTGATGTTTCTCTCTCTCTCTCTCTATTCCTCTCAGAAATCAATAAAAACAAAAGAAAGCGATGTGTTTGCTTATTTTATAAAAGAAAAAGCTTAAAAGTTTATACCCTTTAGTTCTGCAACTTCAGTTCTAGAAACTTATTTGAAAGAATCAGTAACCTGGACAAAGATGTGTGTGAAGGATGTTTACCAAAGGCTCACCAGTGCCTCTATGTTGGCAAAAAAATTACAAATAAAAAAAAGGAAAAGGAAGGAAGGAAGAAAAAAAACCTAAGTATTCACAATGAGGAAATGGTTAATGGTGTGCGTGTTTGATGTAATACTGCATAGCTATTAAAAAAACATGTTTTTGAAGAATATTGAATGAATTGGGAAATGTTTGTCATACACTGAGATACCAAATTGCATATGCATCAGAATTATATTTTTTAGTTCTCTTTTAATCCTCACCCGAGGATATGTTTTTATTTATTTTTTTAAAAATGTTCTTATTGATTTTTTTAGAGAGAGAGGAAGGGAGAAGGAGAGAGATAAACATCGACTGGTTGCCTCCTGCAAGCATCCCGACCGGGGGTTGAACCCACAACCTGGGTATGTGTCCTGACCAGATGCATGCTCAACCCACTGAGCCACACTGGCCAGGGCAGAATATATTTTTATTGATTGATTGATTGATTGATTGGGAGAGAGAGAGATTGTTTGGCTGCCTCCCGCAACCCCCTATGGCAGTGGTCGGCAAACTGCGGCTCGCAAGCCACATGCGGCTCTTTGGCCCCTTGAGTGTGGCTCTTCCACAAAATACCGACTTCTGCGCATGGGCCACGAAGTTTCAATCACACTGTAAGGGCGTTCCCGCACGTGGTATTTTGTGGAAGAGCCACACTCAAGGGGCCAAAAGAGCCGAATGTGGTTTCGAGACCCGTTTTTCCGCACCCCCCCCCCTACGGGACCGGGGCCCCGAAAAAAGTTGCGATTCTAACACTTAGAATTTTTGTGAATGGGAAAAAATCCTCCAACACGCCCCACATGGGGTGGGTCAGGGGCGGTTTTTTGTCCGATTAAGGATATCGGTGGTTGATTTATCCCGCCCCGCATATATATATAAGCACGTTCGCAGGCCAAGCGATCAGTGTAAGACACCTCTGTTCTGGATGTTTTGTAATAAACAACAATAAATCTGTAGTTTCTCCTTTCTGC